ATTCAGGTCAGTACTAAATAAACAATAACATGCATTTTGCATGATCCCTCTTATTTTGGTAAAATAATTAACATTTTGCAGATTCTGCAAGGTGTATGTAAACTTCTGGTTTCAACTGTATATTTAGCATAATTTTAGATTTTTTGCATTGCGACTATTTTAATGACAAAACATTACATTCTCATTTCTGTGATGTGTCTGAATGTTTTGCTTCTCGTAAGATTCATGAAAGATAGTGTGGCAAATCTCATTAAAACTTGCATTTTTCAACCTGAAATTAAAATAGAGAAAGTAATTTTAATATCCATAAAGACAATTAAGCCTGATTTAGAACAATTAGGACATAAAAACATTAAATTAATGATAATAAAACACATTTTACGTCTATATTCTCATTTCTTGGATGTGTCTGAATGTTTTGCTTCTTATTTGTGACCCGGACATTCATTCGGATCTTTCATTTATCACACCATACATTATTTTTGTTCAGTTTTATTCATTTATTTAGAATATTTATTAAGCAGGTTTTTTAAAAAATTAGATAAAGACACATGAATGAAAAATGAAAATGGTAAAGTGATGGTGTCAGATGGTAATATCAGTCAATGTACCAAAAAAGTACTATGGATGTCAACGAGGACCAGAAACTCATACCAACATTCTACAAAATTTGTGTCTTCTGTTATATATTGATAGCTATTGATTTTATACAGTTTAGAAACAAGAAGTTAATATTGAGTGACTTACATTTTAGACACAGTATTGTCTGTTTTTACTCTTTATCATCAATGAAAATAGCTCCAAATGAATCCACAGCAGAAGCGTCGTGCATCTCTGAGCAACACAGCTGTTCGGTTTAACTTCTATTTCTTTATTTATTTTTTTCACATTTCATGTACATTAATTTTGCTGCTCTAGATAAGTGTTTATATATAATTATGTGACCAGTTCACATGAAATCATTATAATTGTTTGCAGTCGTCATGTTTGTAGTGGTTAGTTTTAATATTACGGTCAATATTGGTGGGGCCCATTTTCATAATTTTGCCTACGGCCCACAAACCCATGAGCTGTGTGTGTGTGTGTGTGTGTGTGAGTGTGTGTGTGTGTGTGTGAGAGTATGTGTGTGTGTGCGTGTGTGAGTGTGTGTGAGTGTCTGTGTGTGCGTGTGTGAGTGTGTGTGAGTGTCTGTGTGTGCGTGTGTGAGTGTGTGTGAGTGTCTGTGTGTGCGTGTGTGAGTGTGTGTGAGTGTCTGTGTGTGCGTGTGTGAGTGTGTGTGAGTGTCTGTGTGTGCGTGTGTGAGTGTGTGTGAGTGTCTGTGTGTGCGTGTGTGAGTGTGTGTGAGTGTCTGTGTGTGCGTGTGTGAGTGTGTGTGAGTGTCTGTGTGTGCGTGTGTGAGTGTGTGTGAGTGTCTGTGTGTGCGTGTGTGAGTGTGTGTGAGTGTCTGTGTGTGCGTGTGTGAGTGTGTGTGAGTGTCTGTGTGTGCGTGTGTGAGTGTGTGTGAGTGTCTGTGTGTGCGTGTGTGAGTGTGTGTGAGTGTCTGTGTGTGCGTGTGTGAGTGTGTGTGAGTGTCTGTGTGTGCGTGTGTGAGTGTGTGTGAGTGTCTGTGTGTGCGTGTGTGAGTGTGTGTGAGTGTCTGTGTGTGCGTGTGTGAGTGTGTGTGAGTGTCTGTGTGTGCGTGTGTGAGTGTGTGTGAGTGTCTGTGTGTGCGTGTGTGAGTGTGTGTGTGTGGCTGTGTGTGCGTGTGTCAGTGAGTGTGTGTGTGTGTGTGTGTGTGTCAGTGAGTGTGCGTGTGTCAGTGAGTGTGCGTGTGTTTGTTTGTGAGTGTGAGTCTATGTGTGTGTGCGTGTGTGCCTGTGAGTGAGTGTGTGTGTGTGTGTGTGTTTGAGTGTGTGTATGTGTGTGTGTGTGTGTGAGTGTGCGTGTGTGTGTGTGTGTGAGTGTGCACATGTGTGTGTGTGTGTGTGTTTGAGTGTGCGTGTGTGTGTGTGTGAGTGTGCATATGTGTGTGTGTGTGTGTGTGTGTGTATGTGTGTGTGTGTGTGTGAGTGTGCGTGTGTGTGTGTGTGTGAGTGTGCACATGTGTGTGTGTGTGTGTGTTTGAGTGTGCGTGTGTGTGTGTGTGAGTGTGCATATGTGTGTGTGTGTGTGTGTGTGTGTATGTGTGTGTGTGTGTGTGAGTGTGCGTGTGTGTGTGTGTGTGAGTGTGCACATGTGTGTGTGTGTGTGTGTTTGAGTGTGCGTGTGTGTGTGTGTGAGTGTGCATATGTGTGTGTGTGTGTGTGTGTGTGTATGTGTGTGTGTGTGTGTGAGTGTGCGTGTGTGTGTGTGTGTGAGTGTGCACATGTGTGTGTGTGTGTGTGTTTGAGTGTGCGTGTGTGTGTGTGTGAGTGTGCATATGTGTGTGTGTGTGTGTGTGTGTGTATGTGTGTGTGTGTGTGTGAGTGTGCGTGTGTGTGTGTGTGTGAGTGTGCACATGTGTGTGTGTGTGTGTGTTTGAGTGTGCGTGTGTGTGTGTGTCTCACCACATGAGTGAGGCGAGCAGCAGGTTGGTGGTGTTGGACAGTGGTGCGACCGGCGCGTCTGCCATCATCAGCGCTGAGAGAACAGCTCCACCGAAACAATACAGCATCGAACTGAACCAACACGCAAACGGACTACGCTGAGAGACCTCCAGTGCTCCTGCAAACAATCATCATCAGTCATGTGACATTACAGCCAACAACACAATTACCACAACAAGTGTCAGTGTTCATCATTTAGAAACACTCCAGAATATCTCAGACAGATTGAGACGAACAGATAAACCATGATCACGTGACTGTGTGCTGGAGTTTAAATCTCTGCTCTGAGATTAGAGTGAGATTAGCATGAGACAATCAGCCAGAACACGTGACTATGAATGAGGATGATCTAGAGCTCAATGATTTGGGGGAGAAAAAAAAATCTAATTGCAGTTTTTAAATTGTGATTGTGATTTAAAATGTGATTTTAAAAAAATTCCTTGTTTTTGGAGGGCTGCACAATTTGGCCAAAATTTTGTTATTACATATCAATATATCAATAAAACAGTAATAATAATAATAATAATAATAATAATAAACGATGATAAAAAATTATATTTCCATTATAATATTTTACTGTAAAATAAATACCTTACAACTGTAAAATTACAATACTAATACAGTATTTATGGCTGTCTTAATATCTTCTTTTTGAAATGTTAAACCATCAAACTTTTATTTTGACAGAAAGGGATTCTGATTCAAGTTTTATTTCAATTAATCGCGCAGCGCTGTGTTACTGTTTTGAGCTCAGATACAAATATTTCAATTCTAAAACTCATGAATATTCAAATATGTATCACTCATGTCAATCAGGGTGAGCAGTGTAACATACTATACATACATTATTTTATTAGTTTTATTATCATACATTATTTATGAGGCTATATAGAATATCTGTGATTTTAAAAATTAATGTCATATTGCATTTCAAATGAATAGTGAAGACAAAAGGCGGTTAAAAATGATACATTTTAACTTAAATTAGACTATTAAAAATACTATATGTGACCCTGCAGCACAAAAGCAGTCATAAGCAGCACAGGTATATTTGTAGCAATAGCCAACAATACATTGTATGGGTCAAAATTATAGATTTTTCTTTTATGCCAAAAATCATTAGGATATTAAGTAAAGATCATGTTCCATGAAGATATTTTGTAAATTTCCTACCGTAAATATATAAAAATCTAAGAACTTCATTTGAACAACTTTAAAGATGATTTTCTCAATATTTAGATTTTTTTGCACCCTCAGATTCCAGATTTTCAAATATTGTCCGATCCTAACAAACCATACATCAATGTTAAGCTTATTTATTCAGCTTTCACATGATGTATACATCTCAATTTATAAATTTCATGGTTTCAAAGCAGATTACATGAAATAATGTTTTCAATATCTTAATATCTCCATGCCTTTTAGTCTAATTTAGCAGATTCGAGCTGGAAAATAATATAGTTTATCATATAATATAATCACAAAACTGACAAGAGCTCAAGAGACAGTTTAAAAGTCGACTGCTTGAGATATCTGCAGTGATAACTGACCTGTTAAACACTCAAACACGCCTCTGAACACAGATAAATGCCACGGCCTTCATGGATTTAATCAGGTCATGTGATGCAACCGCTTGATCAACACGAGCTCACAGGACAGTCGCATTCATTCTGATCACATGATGCAGCCACTAAAGCAGCGAATGGATGACATCGAGACCGAAGCAGAGCGAATCCATCAGAGATACGAGTCAATGCATCGACACACACACACTCACACACACACACACACACACACACACACACTCACACACACTCACACTCACACACACAC